GACCATAAAGCAGGGGATGCTTTAGGGCGGGGCTACACAGTGATTGATAGGTCGCTACCAGAGACGTATACGGCGTCTTTACGTCACTCCTCTTCAGTCCAGATATGGTCACTTCTGTTCATTGGTTGTGACAACATGGCGATGTAATCCAAGATGGCGACGGCCAACACGCCAAATTCGAGGCTTCAAAACATCAGTCCACAAACCAACGGGTGACGTCACGATGACGACGCCCACTTCTTACATATAGTTTATTAACAAAACAAACAAATTGAGGATATCCCGGTGGGCTCTAAGAAATTGTGAATGCCTATAAAAAATGATTAAGCAAGGAAATAATCTGCTAATTAATACAATCGTTAGTTGCAGTTCTACAAAAATACCTGTATCGACCCACACCAACCTGTTTCAAATCCCCCCCGCTCTCTACAGTTGTGGTTTTTCAACCTGTGTGAAGTGTCTCGACATCTCTCCAACATCCAAGATCAAAGACCCGATGGCGGCATCGACAGCAACTCTGTTGCCAGTTAAAGCGAAGAAGGCCGCCACCAGCCCGAGCTCTTATCCGACCCGAAGATTAAAGACCAGACTTACAGTATCTGTCTGTTCTCCTTCAAGTGGGGCGAACTCGTGGAGGGCCTATTGATCTGGTGTTTGTGGAGAAGCACCCTTTATGACTGGACCTATAGGTGCTGTCTGGAGGAGACTGAGGGCTCAATCAATATCTACCTGCATCTCTTCGATTCCCTTCCATCTTCTCACCTTACTTACTCTCTCCCTCCCATGTGTGACTCCTTTGATAATCCTCCTTCTGAAATACAGAATACAAAACCACCCCAAAAAAAATGCCCGCGTCCAGCTCGGGATCTATTTTCTCCACGTGCAGAGAACGAATCTGACAAGAAAGCACACAGATAATCTATTATAAATGATACGTTCTCTCGTTTGGATGACTTTACATAGAAAACAATCAGCGTGGTTGTTGTGACGTGCCACTGGTGTGTGCTTTTGTAGTGTTGCTCCAACGTTAATTCATCAGAAGTAGGTGTGGAAATGACTGCACTCACTGAAAGGTGGCCACCATTATGTCTGTAAGAGGCCACACTTTCACCTTATCTAGTGGGGGGGGGGGGTCACAGCCTAGCAACACTGGGTCTGAGCATAGCAACAGCAGAGTCGGTCCAGGGTTTCGGTAATTGGACCTTTTGACTCAGTGCCAGAGGAGCAAATACAGACATACGTCAGCACAGGGGTGCATGTAGTGCAACAGCCTGCCAAAAATATGCATGTTTGAGAGAAAAAGCACCCGGTTTATTTGAGTGTTTTTGCAGTGTCTCCGTTAGTATAATACATAATGTGATGCTATACAACGCTTTCCGCTCCCTGCATGCTGAACTGTCCTTGGGAAGGCGCAGTATATATGTGTGCGTACATGTATGTATGAGGATCATTGTGGGTGTGTGTGTGTGTCACGGTGTGTTCATGTGCCCCAGAGGTGTGTGAAGAGTCTCCACTCAAGGTCATATCATCTTCTTATAGAGACACAGAACATTAACCATCAAGGCACCATCTTGTCAGAATTAATTGACAACCAGCTGGAAGTCCTCTTAAGTGAAAGGTCGATGTCGGCATGATGAATTTTGAAGCACTGGCATCGGCGTCATTGTGGTGGAAATAAAGAAGTCACAACATGGGGGATGTATCGCCAATTGGAAGTATAAATGGACTGATTATACCAAGATGATGCAGTTAGAGAGAGAAACGGGCGGGAGGAACTGTGGACTGATTAGAGATGGCGTAATGGACGCGGGCGGAGAGTACATCACGAGACAAGAAATGGACGGCTAACAAGAGTAGTGGAGAGGATGTGTACTGTACAAATAATAATTAGATGTACTCTAATCTAATGTAGTGGAAGGATGGGAGTCTTAAGTGCACTGCAAACAAATCTCCATCACATCAATCCCTATCGTCCCTAATTGAGCCCTAAAAGTCTTGCTATATAAAAACACGTAATCAGAAATCTGCAAAGAAAGGGAGATTATTTCAACATGTGTCCTATATGGATATAGTTCTTTTACTATTTTTGCTAGAAATGGGATGAGAAGATGTTTTTATTACTTTAAAGGTGCAATATGTGATACCTGGCCACGTGCTCCAGAGAAATAACAGGCAGCATTTCAACTCTACTTCCTGGTCCATACAATCTAAACTTACTGTCATCAGTTATTAAAGAAAAAAAGAATACGCGAAATTCAACCTAAATGCTCAAACCCTGAGAGCCGGTCACAATAGCTGCTATCTTATAATGTTCATTTGTAGCTGTCTCGGGTTTATTGGGCCACTTCCATGTATGTTTCCATAATTTGGCAGAAAACAATACGTATTTTTCGTTATAAATACAAGGTGTCCACTTTGGATTTAATCCAGCAAACAAACTATTAAAGTTTGTGCACGAGTGCATCTCTACTTCTTCGTTCTCTCTTGGACTGAAGGCAGACTGGACGCTGCAGTGACTCGCTATCGCCTCTCAAAGTTCAAGTGTTATTACAAGACAGGACTAGCCGGGGCTAGTGTTGTGTATAGGAAGAAGCTAGCAGGGCCTAGGATGGATCCCTGAGGAACCCCACATTAGATACAGCTAGAAATAATGAAAGAATACCCAAATTGACTGAAAAAGACCCGTATAATTAACACCAGTGTGAAGCTGTGACATTATTGCCAACCACGTCTTGAAGGCAATTAATTCAGACGGCGTGATTGACGCGTTTTAAATGCCACGAGATCCAGAAGAAGTAAGATAGCGCCTTCATCAAAGACCCAAACGGATATGTTTTCTCTTTTTTTGCACATTGCAACCTTGAATTCTTTGTTATTGTTATCTTTGTTCCGTCTTAAAAAAAGCCACTAAAAAGATCTTTATCATGATAACAGACATGCTGAGGGAGCGAGGCTTGTGACAAAGACGGTTAGAAAATGTGAGAGGGCGAAACATGAGGTCGACGGTGTCACTGATGCTGCTGGGTGTAATCAGTGGGACACACTAACATAGACACACGCATCTTCTGCCTCGCTTTCACCGCTTTTACATTCTGCTCATGTTCTCAGCTTCACTGTAAATGTACACCAGAGAAGAAAGAAAGGGGGCTTGGTGACAGAAAGGGACACAATGAGAAGGGGAGAGGAGGAGGAGGAGGAGGAGGAGGGTGCAGGAAAGCAAAGAGGAATTGAGGGAAGGAGACGCTGGGGGTGAGTGAGTGGAAGCGCTCATTAATAAGGATTTAAAGGATGTGATGAGAGGATAGTGAGCGAAGCAGACAGCGTTTTTGCAGGACTGAGGGAGGGGAGGGAGGCTGATGCGAGAGAAAGAAAGAGATGGATGGGAGGGGACAAGGGAGTCAAAAAAAAGGAGGTGAGAGTTGGACAGTAGAGAAGCAACATCACCGGTCAACTGTGCACGTATTGATCCACGACAACCAGGTGGTTTTATCCGCCGGCAGCCACACAAGAAGAAGAAAGAAAATAAAAGAGGATTGCTGTGTTCTGCCGACCGCCGGATGAAGAGTGTGTGAGAGCACTCCAGCTGAGCGACACAACACGCACATCACACGCGAGATGAACACATTCAGTTTGCAAGAGAGCCGGCGCTGCCAGCGAAACCTCCTCCTGCTACTTTCAGTCGCTGCCAGTTGTTGAGTTGAGATTTAGACGCTGTTTGATGTAGACCAGAGGCAGCGTTCGAGACGCAGGTGAAGCACTTATCAGGTAGTGCGTTTGCTTGCTTGCTTGCTGTACATCTGTGCTTGGAGACCGGCTGTTTATGGTATATAGAGATACGCCAGCAGAAGAGGATCTAAGGATATTCGAGTGCCAGAGAGTTTGTGAGCATGACTTGAAATCTGGAGGGAAGAAAAGAAGATTTAAAGACAAACTCCCGGAGAAGCAACACCCAGAAAATTCGCAGATCTCGTGGGGGAAATATCTGAGATCCCCGGGAGTCAAGATGTGGATTAGGGGATGAGTCCTGAGGGGGAGCCAAGGAGGCATGAGGTTGTGGAGGGTGAGAGGGCAAGAATGGGCCGCTCCTACCCTGTGCCACGTCCGGCTGCCTCGGCGTGAGCATGCAGGTCCTTCAGATCGTCAAGGAGCTGGTGTCGCCCTCCAGACGCAGGGCAGCGGCCAGATTTGGAGGTGTGTGCATGTACGGTACATCAGGTTTGTCCATGTAACGACCCGCTGACCCGCTTTCAAAGCCACTAATTGTATTTCTCAACTAGATACGGACGTGATCTATCCATAGAATCACACAACAATTTTTGGGGGGCAAAAGCTCCATGTAAGGAAAGGGCAGCAATCCAAAGGATTTCTGAGCCGTGTGAATGTTTGCAGTAGGGTTAGACCAATATAGAGGGCGTACAAGGCTTTTATTAAAACTGGTTATTGGCCAGTTTTGTTGTCCTCCCCTGATGCAAACAAATTTCTGCTGTTGCACAGGTCTGTTGAACCAAGAATGAAAGCTGCCTCGCCTCGTTGTCAGGAGCACTTAATCGTCCCGTAACGTCTTCATTAGTTTAATGTAGGTTTCAGTGGAGAGCGTTGGTGGACTAAATTCTGCATCCGAGGCTTTTCCTCTCCGGGGTCAGTTTCACAAAGATTTATTAGACTGAGGTGTAGAATTAGGGAAGCCTAAGTTTTGCTCTTAGAGGTTTCAGAACGCTTGAAACTAATTGGCGCGTAGGCAAAAGTGTGTCTGGGGTTTCCGAATAGCCACACTTAAAAGGGTGAAACATTGACGATATGCTATGATTTGCAAAGGAGCCCAATTATGGACTTGGTCTTGATAGTGTTGGAGTCTGTGACAGAAGTGTGATGACTAAAAAAAGAGAAGTCCCTGCATACTTTTATCACCTTCACACACCCGGCGAGCAAATTGGTGCAGGAAGTTGGTGTGCTTGTCGAATTGTCCGTTTGGCAAAGTTGAAGACATTGACCACAGACTACATCCACACGTAAGGTGCTAACGTTAACGACACGATACATAAAACTAATCAAACCCAAAATTGAATGCGAAAGCTAATGGTATCTGTTGTGGCAAGCCACGTTTTTGTGACCAACATTTAACGGTAGCAAGTGCATATCAGCGAGCGTACATTACTGTCTTCCTCTTATCCCATCTGGCGACGATCTCAAACCAAACGTTGTCCTTTATTTGGTTGTCGTTGCGGTGTTTGTCGTACGTGATTTGGTTTTGGAGAAGGGGGCTGCACATTGTTTCCGATGGCCAATCATTCCAAAACACCAACAGTCCAAAAAATAGTTTGTCCACCCAGAAAACAAACATTCCGAAGGCCCATTGCTCCTAAACTGCATACATTAACACATGGCTAATTACTACGCAGAGTTACATTGTTTTATGACTTCAGTTTGACCGAAGGATTTCGGCGGTCAAACACATATTTCCGCAGAGAAACCAGACGGCTGTTCTTAAGTGTAGATATGTTCATTATCTTATGCTCGCGCGCACGTTTTCACCAACATATGTGTAACTGTACGGCTCCCATTTCATACTAGCACAGTCACTCATGGTCAATGCTGCAAGCGACGCTTTTGATACTTGGAATATTTGGCTTTTCTTGGCATGGAAATATTCGGATTTATTAATAAAGTTGTGTCATTGTGGACGAGGTTAAACTTCTCTCTGCGCCCGTGTGGCGTTTGACTGACGTTCCCCCGGAGTCACCGCTGTAATAGCTCTGTTGCTGTGGGACACGAGTGTACTTTTTGTGAGTGTGTGTGTGTGTGTGTGTGTGTGTGTGTGTCTGTCCTGCAGCTGCATTTCTCTGGTGTGCAGTGAATAATGAAGCTTGGTGCCCGGGGTAATGGAACACGCTGTGACCCCCGACCCCTCGTCCTGTCTCTTCTGATTGGATCGGCTCGTGAGCGATACACCCAATGATGTATGTGTACTATTGCGAAACATTTGTTTATTATTGTTGTAGCCACAAGTTTATCTGAGTTTTTTTTTTTTTTTTTTTTTTAAACATTACATTACAGTCATTTAGCAGACGCTTTTATCCAGAGCGACTTACAATTCAGAGTCTATCACATTTCTACACCGTAGGCACAGCTACAGGAGCAATTTTAAGAAAGCCACAGCTTGTTGCCTTCTCGCTTCATTGCTCCTCAAATACAAACAGTGGCCTCTGTATTTCCAGAGGGGCGATTTGCACAAATTTAACGACAGTGATAGGCAGGTAAATTGGTGCTACTTGCAGATTTCCCCTAAAACGTGTCGTAATTACGGCATTTTTGATAATTTATGTAAATTCTTCCGAAGTACTTTAATTCTCAAGCCATATTGCGAGGTCTGTGTTTACCTAAATTTGCATTTTGGATTAAACTACTATTTAATTTTCACCTGAATTGGCTTTACTGAACATTAAAAGAAAGTTTAAATGTGCACTGTTAGGGCTGTTAGCACTGTTAGCAGCTAGCCGCCGGCTCATCCTTTCGCCATTTTGAGAACCATGTGGAGACAAAAGATTTGCTCTGAATTTATATATTTAGTGCATTTAAAGTAGGATGAGGAGAAAATCAAATACCATAATATGAATATTGGGACGGTATTGCAGGGTGGACCTTTGATGCTTTTACAAACTATTTACACAATGAGATTTTTATATAATGACTAAGTGAGTAAAGACAAATAACAGAACAGCTGGATCAGTTTGGTACATAATTTGACTGTAATGCAGCCTTTAAATTCAGGAAAAGACAACACTTCTGCAGAATGATGATGATATCTAGTCCCATGTGACGATATCTGTATAATATCGATATATTGCTACTTTAAATTGCTACTTCCTTTGAGTCTTTACTTACTGTCACTGTCAAAAGAATATTGGCTTTAGCTCTGTTTGCGCTAGAAACGGTCTTTTCTTCCTCCTGGTTTGTGCCATAAAGCAATTCATTACGTCTGCTTTCAGCTCCCGGCCCGCTGAAGTCGAAGCATTCATGTGATAGAAAAAAGCTGAATATATTTCCTCTAAAAGCTATTCACCTTTAGAGTGTTTATTCAGGTAAAAAATGCTTGTTGTCCCCTGCCAGCTGGCGTTGATAACAGCTTTAATTTATCAACTAACCTCGCTATAGTGAACTCATGGAGGACCAATTAAACCGCACAAGCGTGCGCTGCAGCCTGCATTCCTGTGGGGAGTCAATATTTGAGGTAAAAGTCGCTTTTGTCCTGAGTCATTGCTTTTAAATGATGGATGGAGGCTGATGTCACAGGCATGCAGATGTTTCATTTTGAGGCAGTGAACAAGGTCAGATATGTGTGTTTAAGGGCCTTAGACATCACAGCGGCTTAATGTTACAGTTTAAGAGCAAGTTAACCTCGGAACTGTTACGCAGAAACTACTCGGGTGATCATTTTTAATGGAGTCACTGACACTCCGGCCTGGAACTCTGTGTTTTTAATAGGAATTGTGAAAATTAAATCAGAGTGTGACAGAAGTGTCTTAAAGCTGCGTTCTCTCTAGTGTCCACCAGGGGGCGACTCCTCTGGTTGTATAGAAGTCTATGAGAAAATTACTCTACTTCTCTCTTGATTTATTACCTCAGTAAACATTGTAAACATGAGTTTATGGTCTCAATCTCTAGTTTCAAGTCTTCTTCAATACAGCATGATGTTCATTTAGTACATTATGGTCCATTTAGAGTCAAACAGACCATAAAGCAGGGGATGCTTTAGGGCGGGGCTACACGGTGATTGACAGGTTTCTACCAGTGTTGGATGACACCAGTGTTGGTTGACACCAGTGTTGGTGTCCTAAGGTGTTGTTGGGTTATTCTAAAGTTACTTCAGTGAGGTGTTTACTGACTTTTTCCTAAACCCAACTAAATCGTTGTAAACATCAATGTAAACCCATCTGCATCGTTATTGGACAATTCTCCAGGAGTGTGGTGATGTAGTTTAATGACCGAAAAAACACCCACAGGTAGGGAGATCGGTGTTCGAGTGTTGAGTTATTTTTAAGTTACATTACTTATGTTAAGTTGTTGACGTTTTACTTAGTTCACGTAGTTATTTTAAGCTCAACCGCAAATGTTTTTCCTAAACCTAACTAAGTGGTTTTGTTGTTAGAAAGTGACGCCAAGGCTCAGTATGTGACGAGAATGTGTTACACTACAGTGTGGAGGCTTCCAGTCGTGTTGGTACTGGTCTTGTTTGTTTACAGTAACTGTAATGCCACTGAGTTCGTGTTGTAACAATTTATTGATTCTTAAAATGCTACAAGTGGAACCTGCACGCCAGCCTCAAACCGCAGTATTAGACTTGATGACAAGCGTGCAAAAGTCATTGTGAGGCAGGTAAGTGTGTGTGTAATCAGCTCTAAAGGCACAGACACTTAAACAGAGAGAGTGCTTCAGAGATTTCGGCTGCTTTATCGACTGCCCGAGAAACGATTCGCACTTTTTTTCCATTTGGCTGTCGTCTTTATCTCCGTCCATCAGCCCGGCACAGGAATTCACCTTGGCTCTTCTCTCAGCGTGGATCAATGCAGGCAGATTTAGAGATGGCCTCCAACAGATACAGCACACACACACACACACACACACACATGCATGGATTCACACACTCACTGCAGGGCTGTGCAGGCTTGAAGGTGCTGAGGTGTGAGGTGCAGGAGGCGAGCAGATGTTGTTGTGATGAAACTGAAGCACATTGCAAATGCACTTTGTGCTTCTTAGCTGATCTTCTGATGTAACTAAGCAGCATAAATCTGCATATCGTGTTTATTTTAACAACAGAATATTTCACCCAGGATGACTTGGTGTGGGGAGTTGTGGGAAAACGTGAATCGTATTTTTGTTTTTCCGTTGAAAATATCTTTTCAGCGTATTGACCTGCGGCTCAGCTCCTAGCCTCCAGGAGCCCCGAGGCCTCGACGTCGGCCCTCATTTAGAGCCGTAGACGTACCCTGGGACCTCATTATAGTTTAGGGATCCGTCCCATGTGTCCACGTTTTGTGGGATTCATTCAGACAGGACAAACAAAAACTTGTGTTACAGTCCGACTTAGGGATTTTATCCAACAACGAGCCTCCTGATTTCTGGTATTGTTAATATTTTCAGCTGAAGCCTCTGAAAATCTCACGAAGACCGAGAAAATAGCACAAACAAAAGTG